AAAAAAAAAAAGGAAAAGATATTTGATAGATGGTTTAACTTGAGTTTATATTGACACCTACCACTTAAATTCAAGAACTTTCGCATATGTTATTAAATATATTATGCAAATTATTTCTAGAATCTTTACTGGATAGGCTATTGGTTTGACTGTAACACTGAAAATTTCAAAAACACCTTATTTAAAACTAACCACCCAACAAACCAACTAACACAATTTTTCAAAAGAAAGATCAAAATAAAAAGGTTGTTAGCAAAATTCCTAGTAAATCTTTATCAAAGTTTATTAGTTGGTACTCAAGTTCCCTTTAGGATAATATATTCAGTTTTGAATTCCATAGCAAAAGAGATTATGATTCCTATCAGTGAAAGCTATTTCAGGAAATAGGATACTAAAATAGTTGTAGAAAATGCTTTGGTACAATATTGCTAAGAATTGCTAAGAATTTGTCCGAAAATTAATAAAAATTGTTTGGCATTCTACCAACTGGAATTTTTAATGAAATTACACAATGTAAGTGGCATTCATAATGATAAACTATTGTTTTATTGTAGGTTTTTAAAAGTTATTTGATAACCTAAGGGGAAATGAAACATGATTTCAACTAGTTGACAATGTTAAAATTCATGTATTGAATAGATGTATAATTAACCAGAATGCTCTGTTCTTTTTCTTTTTATAGAGAAGTTTACTTCAATTCTTTAGGCTACAGACCATACTGCGTATATTCATTTGTTAAGTATTTACTGAACACCTGGTTTGCGTTGGGCGCCCTGCTCGGAACTGAAATATAACCAAGGCAGACGTGGTAGACCTGCTCTCCTTCAGCTTAACAGTCTAGTGGGTGAGAGAAAGATGCAAACAAAATAACTACGATTTCCTAACAGCACCAACACAGAAAGGAACAGAAAAGAATAGAGAGGAAGCTTATTAGGTCAATCACTTTGCTGTCAGTAGCAGCCAGTGACTGACAGAAGTGTAAAAAGCAGGGGCATCTTAGAAAGCACAGCAGTGAAGGCTAGTCTGAGTGTCAGATGCTTCAGTATCATCAAAGTAATAAAAGACGCTGAATCACTGAGAAAAGATATGTTTGGTATTAAAATAACTTAGAAAGATTTTCACCCTGATTAAAAGACATACATATAATTTGTAATATCTACACTGGCTGCCTATATATTAATAGATGAAGTTGCTAAAAACAAGGGCCTTTTGATAAGTGAAGTGTCATTTCTATTTAAAAATTTTTCCTCATAAAAAATATTTTTCCAACAAAATGTTTTTTCTAACATATTTTCTAATAATTTTAATGACACCTTAAGATGCTCTAATTTTCAACAACGATTAATTAGTAGGCTCAAGCAACACAACTGCACCCTTAGAAAAACAGTCTATCTTCTCCAGTCTCCCATACGATGCCCCAACAACACTAAAGTGACCTGTAGTTCCCCAAACACACTATTTCTCACCCCAATCCTTTGATCATTCCATCGTCAGCAGGCCTTTCCTTACCCTTCATGTGGGGCTAACTCCCACTCACCTGCTAAGATTCAGCCTCAGGTGACACTGTCTCCTGAAGCTGTTTCTTTACTTCTCCCAGCAAAGCTGGGTTAGGTCTCCCCTTATCTACGTTTCCGCAGCATCCCGGGCACATCTCCACCACAGTTCTGTTTACCATCTGTTTTATGGATGTGTCATGCATTAGACTGAGCTTCTTCAGGGTAAGAACAAAATCTTATTTTTATAATCCCAGCAACTAGCCCAGTAACCAGCTTATAGCAAAAACTTAAGAAATATTTATTAAATACAATGGGAAGGCGGCTTTAATTCTAGCTACTCACGAAAACAAAAATGAATATAACAGTATCACCTTTCCTATAAAAATGAAGGTATCATATAATATGTCAGTTTATGGACTATTAGAACTACTTAATGTCTTCGAGTCTATCCTTACACAAAGTAATCAGATTCAATAAATACTATATTAAATTTTTATGGTAGTTAGTAAAAATTTAGTCTGCTATAATTATGAAAAATTTTGTTAGACTTTGCTTCTACCTGTTAAAACTTTAAGTTCTTTTAAATTCAATGATGAGTTTCTTGAGCCAGATAAAGAAATGTTTAACAGCTACTTACTCATATTTTGAGTTTTAAGTTACCTGTTCTATATCTCACTGTACAAAACTTAAGTGTTTATTAGGTAGCAGTTCTACATCAGTAACTAGGGAGACAGGAAAAATAGTGGTAAATATAAGACAAAGACCATCAAACTTGAGAAACTTACAACCTAGGACAACAGATTTGTAAAGCAACTCCAGCCTAGAAAGCCCATCCACTGACCTCATACATTTTCAAGTGAGTTAGCATGTAAATGCATTTTGTGAAATCAAAATTGATACGGAAATATAAAGCATTAATATTATGGCGTGGGGGAAAAGATAAAAGTGTTTTTGAACATTAGTAAAAATTTAAATACATTTAAGTGTATAACCAGAGCTTCTTAATATATTTAATATTTGAAGAAAAGTTATTTCTAGTTGTTTTCCATAATTTCTAGCCTTTTGTTAGGACTAATTCTGTCCTG